CTATTCAAATAAATACTATAATAAAGCTAGAACGATGTATAAAAGAAATTAAGCAAACCAAATAAAAAAGAAACAGTTTTTCACAGACGATTGAGTATTTCTCATTCAATTAATTCAGTTCTCACTTCGCGAGAAGGCAAAAATACATAAAAACTCAAAATATCTATACCGCCTTAAAAATTACGAAGTAAATCTTAAACACTTATTTCCTCGAAAAAATTCCAGAAAGGATAAAGCATGATTTAATTGGCAATAATAAATGAAGGCGTTATCTTTGTTGTTGCGAAGCTAAGTTTCTCTAGATTGGCAACAAATCCACTAGTCTGCTGTTTCAAATGTAAACAATCAATGGCCGCCATAAAAAAGGCTTAGCGGCACTTAAACAACTTTAAAATTGTTGATAATTCTAAAAATATTGCATACAGATTTACGAAAGGCATAAAATCCTTAACCGGAAGATAAAAACAACATAATTCAATCATTTTTAAAGCAAAAAATGTACTACAATTTACAAACATATAAGAGTAAAGAAACTGAGATCACTGAGCCGGGTAACAGAGTGGATATATATATATAAATATATTTATATACGTTTGGTGCGACCGATCGCAACCAAAATACGAGGTGCACATCTACATGTTATAGCAGTCCCTTTATAAAAATTTCAACGTTCTGAGGGTACTCGTCTTTGAGTTATGCGAGATACGTACGTACATACGTTCGTACGGACGCCACGAAAAATCCTCTTCAGAATGAATTTTAAAGCAGTTTTATAATTTTTTTGGAGGAAACGAGTCTTTTATTCTGTCCTTACGTACAGATAACACGCAAACACATCGTGAAATTGCATTCGATAGCGGTCAAAATGGATATTTTCGTTGAAATATGCTGCCTGAAACTTTTCGCGATTACAATACTTCCTTTTTACTTCGTACAAGGAAGTAAAAAATAATTATTTTCAATATATTGAATTAAATTTGTAACTTTAAGAGATATTTCTGGTAGCGAAAATTCTCTACGACAGCTATTGAGTAATGTGCCCTGTCTTGCTGGCTTTCCAGTAAATGTTCGTGTATAAAGATGGCCGAGTGGGTAACACTGACAGCTTGTCTTTCTACGATTCATGGCAAATGGGTTAGCTGCATTTATTTTTGGATTTTTCCCATGTGTAAGTTGAATATGTGACAGTCCTTTTAAAATGTCCTCCACGAAAATGGCCTTTCTGAAGCAGGTAGCTCCATGTGCTTTATTTACTATTAAATGATTAATCAACAAGTAAGTAGTTAATATTCGCATACTTTTATCAGCATAGTAAATATTTACTGCAAGAAAAGCATATCCGAGCTTAAACAGAACTTTATGTCGGCTAACTCTAATATAAAAACAGTCTATACATCGGCTGTCAGGTAATATTTTGCGGACTGAATTTTTCCCGCCTTAGCGGATTGCTTAGGAGGCTTCAGTGTATTAAATTATTTTTTTATTACTGAATTTTAATTACCTTGTTCTATTTTTATTTGCCACCATTGGCCTATTTTATTTTTTTGTCTTAATTTCATTTTTTTTTTAAATCATCAGCAGTTTTATAGCGTTCACTTGTCTCCCTTTCTTTACATTTCAGTCTTTCTGAAACAGTACTTCTGTAAATTTTTTTACCAAGAAAAATGTATTTTTATGTTAGTTATTTTATAATTAATGGAATGAAATTATTGTTTTATCATAAAGCTTCCAAATTTTACTTAAATTTTATTTTTTTAATAGAGATTCAACGCAAAATCCCGTTTAGAGACTGGATGCCTTCCTGGGTTAACGCTCGTTTGGGTTAATAAGTGGGTTAAATAACATAAAATTTTATAGTTGTCTCCAAAATAATTTAAATAATACAAAAATAATATAATCTGAAAGCTTTCAGATTTTATATTACGCCCAGAGGAGCCTTTTTAATATATATATATATATATATATATATTATATATATATATTGTTTGTTATCTTTATTTATTAAATATCATGTTCTCCGCACTTAAACCACATAAAATTCAATTCAACAGCAATATCACAAAATATTTAAAAACAGCATATCTTTAGAATTTCCGATACACAGTCTCGCGCGCTGGAGATGAAAATGTTTTTTTCCTTGCAGTGTTACCATTGGTCACTTTGAAATCGTCGAGTTTGTTAATCAAAAATTCGTTAAAGTTCGTTCATAATCTTTTCATATAAAATATGTAAAAGATTATGAAACAAATTCGAAATTCAAAATCCGGGTGTCCAAGTGCCCATGTTCGGATGGAGGATTACGTTATTTCAAAATTTGATGGCTCTAGGTACCATTGTTTTTTCGCAATGCGAGAAACATTCATGCATTCATGCAAATTCTTCGTTATTTAATTTCTTTTAAATATAATACAGGGCTAATTCAGAAGTCAAACAACAAAAATCAGCATTATATTTACAAAATTATAATACAGGGCGATAATACCTTCTGAGATAAATCATTTGGGCTAATAATGGTCTTAATGACTTCCCTAAAGAATTTTAAATTGTAAATTAACCAAGATATAGATGCTAATTATCTCAAATTTTAATTTAAAATGTTAGCAGCTCACGTCTTGCTGCCAGTTTACCTGGAAGCAAAAATAGTTTAGTATGTATCTGAATACATTTTCAGACACTTAGATGCCATGCATCCTAACTTTAACATTTACAGAGACAGTTTATTTTGATACTTTTATTAGCTTAATTTGCATATGAAACAACCAAGGGTCTATAATATGTAACACGCAATTTCTACTCCCTATCACAACTCATAATTTATAAGCGTCCGTGTCGGCTTAATGTCATGTCGGCTAACTGCTGTCGGTGAAATGTCTTGTTGGCTAAGTGTCCGCGCTTTTCGCTAGATTCTGAATACGTTTCATTCAAGTCTTTCAATACATTTTTGTAACATCATACAATATTCACATATGAAATACACAACTCTCGTATAATAAACTGCCATTTCTTAAAATTCCCATTATTTTCAGATAGTCCGGCTATTTACAATCTTATTAAAGCCACAGGAAACTTAGTTTTGTGGTAACAGTCTTTACAATAATACACAAAAATTCTTTAACTTCTTTAAACTTATCTAATCAGAACTTTACTTTACTTTAGAATTCTCAAATAAGCCAATATTTTAGTTACTATCTATATTTGAAAAATCCTCTTTTGAGGTAAAACTCATTGAATAGCAAATTACAGTACATCCATAAGAATAAAATGTTTAGTTAAATAGGAAATGAATAAATTTCCACCTGTCTTTGGTTCACAGTGGTACGACTTCCTACAGAAGATGTTCACACTTCAATGTTTAAAACGCTTTCTATAAAGAATTTGGAAAAAAGCAAATGTTTTGGAATGAAAATATCTGGCAACAACTTGTTATTTGAAATATCGTCTGCTACATTTAAATCTATTCCTCGTTGAAAATGTCACACGTAAACAATTTGGATTAAAGGGTTTTCCGAACAAAAATATTTCGATTCCATAATTCAAAATTTCAAAATTCCATAATTCAGTTTCGATTTTTCGAAATTGCTGAAAGGTCTACACAGTTACAGTAACATAGAGGTCGATCCAATAACAATTACATAGAATATCGTACCAAAATTTCACCAAATAATCTTTGACGACTTTTGGCAGTTTCTTTGCAAAGTTGTAGACATAAATTAGTCAGCAAAACCGTTGGAAGTTTGGCCCCATCTCGCTAGTTTTACCTCAATCTTAAAATAGACTAATCCCTATAATCCTATTTTTCTGGCGATGCTGAGGTCTTTCATATTACATTATACAAGAGGTACTACAATATACATATAATATCACTAAAATTATTTATATATATACAAAATTCGTAGCAATATTTAAGTTTCATTAAGTTATAATATGGGAAGTGCTGACTATAAATTTTAAAATAGTAGTCTAAAAATCAGTTTTTTTTTTTTTTTTTTCGGTGGTTGAGAGGTTGGTTTAGTTGATTATGGCAGAGCAAACTAGGACTATCTTTCTAAGGCAAGGTATGCCATCGCGGAGGACTGGGAACTGGTTCATATACACGTTACGCATAGAGAAAACAATGAAAACGCTCGTGCAACCAGCCCGTTCGCCTAGACTCAAACGCAGGTCCGAACTACTAATGTTCAGCTATTTTATCGCTCTGCGTCTGATGGGTCTTAGTTTTTTTTTCAGAAAATTTAGTATCTTTTATGTTTGAAATAAATAACTCAATTCTAACGATCTTCAGAGACAACTTCCTTTTGTGACCAGCTTCCTTTTGTGACGTCATTAATCTGAGGCAATTGTAAAGAATTTAAATAGGAAAATTCTTTCTTTTTTGTTCTGTTAGGTGGTCGCAAGCGATGAGGCACGGGTTCCTGGACCGAACCCTATTCCAGACTAATATAAGTAACCAAACGTGCAAATAGCGTTTCAGAGAATGAAATTAGTCCAGGGAAGTGAGGAATAATGAGAACAATGTCCATCGAGAGAAAAAGTAGTGTCTCGAATGAAGTAACTGTGGGTTGGTTACGAGCAAGAGGTTTTTTTTTTTTTTTTTTTTTTTTTTTTTTTTTTTTTTTTTTTTTTAAGGGGGTGCGGTAGAGCAAGGTCAACTACATATCTAGTTTGTCTTGGATAGAGTTTCTTAAGGTAAGAGAGAAGCCTTTCTCGTAGTAGCTCAGTTTGTCCTTACCACGGAGTTTAAAAGATTTTATACTAGGTGGACTTTATTTTCGACGCCGCATAAAGAGCTTTACATTTTTATAAAAGGTCTCACTGCCTTACTTCAGGCTCATAAATGTACTTTGTATTACTACATCTCTGATGAGGCAAGTGCCAACGCTAAGGGTTTTGCCATCCGCCTCAAATTCTCCGACTTTGAACACTGTTTTTCTCTCATCGTTTGTTTTGTTACGAGTCCGGTGAACTAACCGTAACTGCTGAATGAAGGCGCGATGGTTGATATACAACAAATTTAACCAATTATGCTTCAATTTGTTTATTTTGTAAATAAATTATGAGTCAAATCAAAGAACTGCCAAAATCATCTTCTCGAATTCTTTCTAGCACACAGATTATAACAACAGTTTCCAGTGTCGTGAAAGAACTTGTTGAAAACGCTATCGATAGTTCTTGTACAAATGTAGAAGTTAGATTAGTAAGATATATTTTACAAAGTGTCTTTTATAAAAAAATTTATATATATCAAAAATGTTATATAAAAACATATCAAACGAATTCAGAAAACTATTAGATTAGTGATATATTTTATAAAGTGACTTGTATAAAATATATCTTACTAATCTAATGGTGTATTTATAAAGTGTATTAAAAATGTTATTTAAAAAACATGCCAAACAAATTCAGAAAACCATGCTAGTTCATAATTGAAGTTAGTATTTTTTGGATAGTTATAACCTGGCAAAATTATTATCGAGGTGGAATTATAAATCTGAGAATTGTACAGTGACTGTCATTTGTTTTCGGACACATGTTTCTGAGTTTTATTTCAAAATTGCAATTACTAAATATTAGTAAAAGGACTTTATTTTTATTTAAGATGTATTACCGATGATATTTTTTAAAACTTATTTGTTTTCGAAAAAGATTTTGGTTTAAAAAAATGAAAAAGCTCTGAAAATTAACTCGCATAAGTATGTGGGTATTTTCAACAAGCAGCTTATATTTAATGAAAATAATGGATCATCCAATACTTCATGAAGTATCCTTTAGTTAAAATTACACTTTTCATTAAAATTCATTCAGAATATATTTTTTTTTTTTTTCCAATTCCTTTGTAAGAATCGCTTTTAATAAAGCTTTCATAGAAATGTCGTATTTACGTATCCTTTTCTACGACATATACCTTACATATTTGAAGCCTAAATCTGAGGAAACAGGAAGAGGTCTGATAACTTCAATACAACTGTATAATAACCACAAGCAAATATTTAGGACTGTATGTTTAGAATAAGTATCCTGACAGAACTTGAATATACTTAGCATTCCAAGTTTCCTTGTAGATACTTTCAGGTTTTCATTAAGAATATTTGTTTACTTTTAATGATCTATGTTATTTCCCATAAAGAGTAACTACCTCATAACAGGGACAGCAAAACAAAACATACCAAAATCTTTATGCTTCCACCCAACTGCCTATAATAGGCAAATGTCTTTGAATTCAATTAGTCTTTGTCATTGGACTCAAATATATTAAATTTTGACTTGCCCTGTAGATATGACATTTCAGTATTATAAATGTCTCTAATGTAGAATTGGGTGCCCCTTCAATTAACAACAATTTTTTTTTTTTTTTTTAAATTTTGGTGATGAAATCTCACTTCTGATTACCATGATAGTTTTGACTTTGTTTTAGCTTCCTGATTTTATTTAAATGAAAATAGATTGATGTGTACGTGGACAAATTTAAGGCAGTGCGCAATGCCTAGTTTGTGCAATTCTAGGATGTTTTTTTAAGTGAAAACAGATCAGTGTGTACATGGACACAATGTTTGTGCAATTCTTTGACTTCTTATTTTGGTTTTCTGTAGCAACCATCTTAAAATTGTGCCTTCCTGTTGCTGATCTTGGCATCAAAAAAGAATTGCCAAAAAACAAGGGGCACCCAATCGTAAACTTTTCTAAATCTTTGGTAACCATGGGTTTTGTGAATGCTGGGTGTATTTTCATTTTTTTTTTTTTTTTTTTTTTTTTTTTTTTTTTTTTTTTTTCTCTTTTCTGATTATCCATTATATAAATGTTACATAATGTTTTGAATATTTTTATAATTTTGAATATTAAATTTCACACAGAACTTGTTATGAATTGATAGTGTTTTGACATATTCATTTCAGATGTGAAACAGTAACTATATTATGCTAAACAAATAATAATTTCCATATGGAGATGATAATCCTTGTGATGTATTTTTCTGTAAACAAAAGAAAAAAATTATTACGAGAAGCATCGTCATCTAAAATATCTCAACCAAACTGTCAAGTCCCAAAATTGCTATGTGAGTTACCGATTAACACTTTTAGAGTAAATTATTTTATTGCAAGAATATTTGGTTGATCTTTACATTATGGTAACTTGGCGTTTTTTTGGCGAAAATTTGGCGACCAACTCTCCTACAGCAACCCTCTATTTTTTTTTCCCGCCGCCATTTTGTCTTCACCAAGTAAACACATGTTTCTTTTCTTTTTATCTACTGAACACTTCTTCCAACAATCTACTAGCCGAATTACACTTATGCTAGAAATTTTATCTAACAAAACAAATATTCACTGCAATCATGACAAATATTCACTGCAAAATTGGGAAAAAGTGCACAATACCATACTCCTTACATGTTTTTCAAAATAACACATACACATAAACCATGTACACGCCGACTTATTTTTACTTAAAAAAACATCCCAGAATTGCACAAAAATGGCATTGCGCACACTCTTCACTATATCCATGTACACTGCTTTTTTTTCTCATAAATTAGAAAAATTTCACGAAAATAATACATGACAATTTTCTCAATCTTTAAACCCGGTAAAAAAGAACATATATGAAATTACCTGATCGCGAAAAAGTATTTACCCTTTCCAAATATGAACGTTTCCACATATAAAATAAATAAAATATCCAAAAACTTTTACCTCTAAATCATCTATTATATTATAAACGTCACCAACGAATTCATACCGCAACCATTACAAATACTTAGTGTCAGATATTTAAATTATTTCCGTGCACGTTTACTTCAACTAAAACGTATACCAAATTCCTACAAACATAAAATTCACAAAATAACTATCATTTAATTAAAATATAATTAAATTCAAAAACACTACTTAAAATATAAATGAGCACATACATTAAATTAATAAAAGTTACCTTACAATCCTAATTACTTTAAACTAAATCATTGCTAACAACAATTTTCCCAATAATACCAAATCCCTTTACTTCCACCTTACATTTAGAACAATGCATAAAAATAATATCCTCAAATAATTAAAAATACTAATTTACCTAATCTTCTTCAGAATCTTGATTACGTGTCCGATAAACTTTTCTTCTTTCTGTTTCAGGATCTTTAAAATCATACTTATATTTCACAGCAAGGTACCAGGTAAAATAAATAACTTAATACAACATCTTTATTTCTATCTCGCACAACCTTAAAGAAACATTTATTACTACCCCCTTTTTCAATACCACTAAATACCCATTTCGAATTCACTTTAGTTACGGCCATGGGATCCAAAAATTCAATCGAACACTGTTTCACACAACACACAGAAGCTAAAGCCAAATGCTAAACAAAAAAATTTTCCAGATTTTTTTCCCCCGATTTCCCCCCCCTTTTCCGATTAAAGAACCGTAATTCGTCGTCCATTAATATCACATGACATATCCCATGATCTCTCATTTCCCTCACACAAAATAATGCGTAATCGGAACTGAGTACTGCTCACATTATTACCAAAGTCCCAGGTAGTAACCTTTATCGCCTCCAAAATGTCGCCAAACTACCAGTTACCATATTGTAAAGGTCAACCGAATATTTTGTAAAAAAAAATGTCTTAAAATAATGCATTAAAAAAAATTCGGAATCTATGTTTCAGTATTTATAACAGGATCTATGCAAAAAAATGTGAAAAATATAAGAGTTTGAAAACAAATGCGAGTCAGTCACTGTATGTTGTTCTTTTAATAACATGTCTAGCTAGAAATGATAAAAATCCTTTCAATGTAAATAAAATCACTTTTTCTGTATTTTTCATATTATTTTTAAATTGTGGTAATGAAGTGTAAATCAGTAAAGTTTGATTGAATGTTTGAAAAAGAAAGGGTTTCAAAGCTTTATATCAAAAATATTATCTTGAGCAATATGATAACTGTAAAAACTAGCTGGCATTTCAGTGGCCTGCGGAAAACATGCATGTCACTGTGGCATGTGATAATTAAAATGTGTCAAGTGAAATGCCTTGCTGAGAAGTTGGTGGTAGAGGAGGTACAAGACCTATAGGTACAACCTCTAGAATGTTCTCAAATTAAGGTACAAGACCTATAGGTACAACCTCTAGAATGTTCTCAAATTAAGGTACAAGACCTATAGGTACAACCTCTAGAATGTTCTCAAATTAACTAGTGTGAAACTGGGAAGAGTTATTCTGTCATCACAGGTGTATAAATGACCATTCAGACTGGGGTTTATCTGAGATAACTGAGTTAGCCAGCCCATCTAAAAAACCAGTTTCTCCTCATAGTGCAGCGAGTTGAAAAATCTGAACTGCATGCTTAGTGGAGCTAGTCAACACATGAAACTGACTTGGCCATTTAGACTGGGGTTAGCTCAGATAAACCCCAGTCTAAATGGCCTTTAAGGCTTCAAGTTAATGTCTGACACTTCACCCAGTTAAGTCTCACCCATTATAATTCAGAAAATCATTCTAGTAACTGTACATTTAACCACAAAAATAGGACAATTATATCAAATACTCAATTAGGTTTCTATAAATTTTTATATTAAAATTACTATTATATGCATACTACTCCATATACAATTTGTATATTGGGAAATGTATTTTAAAAATTGTATTTTATCTTTAAAAGTATGCATTTCCTGATTTCTTTTAAATTTATAATTAAAATGCATTATGAACAATTTAAATATGTAATCTTATTCAGAATGTGTGTTAAATAAAGTGAATATCCTAGTGGCAATATATTAATTCTTTTAATATTATCATTTTTCTTGCTTCAAATGGATATCTCTAAAATTTATTTTCAATAATTCTGAATTAAATAAAGAATTCCGTTATACATGCTATTTAATTTTCAGAAATTGTCTTGTTAATATTTCTCACCATAAAATAGGATACTTAATGTATTATCCAACAGATCTTGAAAATTGGCTACTATCAAACCATGAAAGTTGGTGGAGATCCCACCGAAGCTGCATCAGTTATTCCTGTGGCATTCTAAAGGAACTAATGCCTCTTTATTTAATAAACAATTAATATTTGATCCACTCTGCTTCTGAGCTACGTAAAAATTCTTTTGTTGATTTCTACATGCTACGAATGCAAACTTTCCACAAGTATATTGCTTTGTCAGTCACATCTAGCTGACCATATTGAACCCACTAATGTCCATTTTTGGGGGGATAGGATCCTATAACTTTGAAAATAATGCACTGCTTGCTATTCTATTAAAAGCAGGTCCAAAAAAAATTTTTTTTTTCCCCAAAATGCAAAGAAAACCTATAGCAATGAAAGTTAATTTATATTCTTGTTCATAAAACAAAATGTGGTTTATTCAGAAACAGTTGAGGCTGCATCAAACAAAAGTGCAGATATTATGACAGTGTTATTAGGCCATGCTCATTATTAACGGTTATTTTAATTTACTTTATTATACAAAAAAAAAGTTATGTAAAATTTATAAACATGCCATACTGTCCACGTGTTTTTTTATATGATATCAGTGCCTTTTGCTTAATCTTATTTACTTTAGCAATTAATATATTTGATGTGATTTTTCATAATATTACTTAATCATCTTCAGAAGTTTTTATCTGTGGCCCTTTTTAATTTTTGTTGGGAAACACTTTTTTCAGTATCTTGCTGCGGCTTCCTCTTAACATTATTAAATACATGCAGCATTTATATTGGCCAGTTCTTTCAGTTTGGTCAGGAGATAACTGAATCCAGTATCCATTTTATCACAGAGAACATTGCCAAAGATCATTGGGGAAGATAGGATTACCTAATAACTGTACCCTTTATTCTCATCAAAGCTTAAGCTGTAATATTTAGTGGAAGGGTTTTGCAGTTTGATATATATCAATATATCATTGATTTACTAGGGTTCTGCTCCCAAGAATTAATCAGGTAACTAATAAAAGTACAAAAATATGCAGAATAAAAAGATTCATATGTAAGAAAGTTTATGATTAAAGACTGATAAGCTAACAGCAAGCCTTTTGTTATGAGAATTTACTAAGCTTGGAGAGCAAGATCCTCTTTTTGAATAATTTGAAAAGGTTTACCAGATGGTGATAAATTAGTTTCCATAAAATCATATGTTATAGAAATAAAAAGTGTAAATAATCCTAGATTTCTTTGTCTAAAAACCAATTTTAGTGTTAAGTTTCTCTTGTCTAACAACAGAATCAAATCTTAATTCTGTATTACCCATTCTATTCTTCCCAGTCTTATTCATTTTCTAATTAATGTTAGCTTTAGTTTCTCATTCTCAAAATGCTCCTTCCAGTAACTAACACAGTGATACTGTATTAAATTAGTTTTAATCTCGACTTTTTTTAATTCTCACTTTGAAAATTTTGGTACTTATCTATTAGTGCAACTGGCATTGCGCAGTTGAGTGAATTTCATGGAAAAAAACTAATGCTATCTTATAAATGTAAAAAAATTATTTATTATGTACAAACATTATTACAGGCATATTTTACATTTTAACTAGATATTCATCTTGAAAGTAGTCCATAAACTGAGCATTAGTCAATGAGTCAATGAGCATTAATCAGTAAGAACAACAAGGGTTGGATAAAGAACATCTGTAGTTCTGAAAAGACTTTATTATTATAAGTGTAAACACTTAGTCTCTCAGTTCTCATCTTTCTGCCAAATTGCTGGAAGGTGTGCAACATCAGAATATCCACTTCTATTGATGTTTCACAGCAAGGGTCCTGAAGCATAGGTAATCTTCTTTTTACTGTTATGTTGCAATGGATTCTTCATTTTGGGGAAGATATAGTCTCTTGAACTCATCAGGTAAATATGATGTGAATTCCTTAATGCATAGAAATTTATGAAAATACAGACTAAAATAAGTTATTATATAAACTGAATTTATAAATTCTGTTTAAATACCAGTCTTCATGGCGGATCTAAAATCCTGCACTGCTCATAGGGTTAATGGTAATTAAGTCTTTTCAGAACTACGAAATGTTGCCAGTACTTTTTATCCAACATTTGCATTATTATTGTATGTGAGCTATACAGAAAAAAATCAGTTACATACAAAATCAATTTATGTATGTTTTGAGGACCATATCTTTTTCTGAACTTATAGTCTTCTTGCAATTTTAATATGGTCAGTCAGTAAATGACTGCATTTTAAAATAATGTTATTTTAAAGGATGCAATAAAAATTTGATTAGATACTGTTATGATTTATTTTCATACTGCTCCTTTGTGTCAAATAACTATACTATCTTTCTTTTTCTTTATAACATAAGACTAGGCATCATATTCTTAACTTTTTTATTTATTCCAGGAGGATTATGGACTAGAAAAAATAGAAGTTAAAGACAATGGAAGTGGTATTCATAAAAATGATATTCCTTTAGTTGTTAAACCTCATTTTACATCAAAAATAACATCACATTTAGATTTAGATAAAGTACAAACTTATGGATTCAGAGGTGAAGCTTTGGCTGCATTATGTGCTGTATCAGATTTGGTAATAACTACAAAAAGAACCGACGAAGATATTGGTTTCATTTACACTTTTAATCACAATGGAGAAGTTATTAATCAAAAACCTTGCTCTTGTTCTCAAGGTATTCATTTTTATCTGTTTATAAATCAGAATTTATTTGTAGGTTTTCCTATTCAGAATTAGGTTAGTCATCATTTTTAAAATTATAATAATTTTCTATGACATGTTTTTAATTTCTATAAGAAAATATGTAATTTTTCTAGAAAATAATTAACGATAAATATAAACACATTTGATATCTGCATTTTATGTTGTATTATACTGGTCTAAATTTAATGCAGTATTTCCCCCTTAAAATGCTTTTCTAAAAGCCATATATCTCATTGGTCCTCATAAAAAAGAATATCTTTTGTACTTCCAGTAATTTCCCTTTAAAAACTTTGCGTGTCTTATATACATGGTGTAATATTTACTTGATAGATTATATTAAGATAAGTTACATGCATTGCCCAACATTTAAAATAAAGGACAACATATTTATTTGAACTCAATATATGGCATTTAGAGCATTTAATTATTGTTGTTGTATATATTTTCAGTGTAACTTACTTATACGCTAACATGCACAATTCAGAGAATTTGTACATTATGTTTAACTTTTAAAAGACTAATGAACAGATTTTAATAAAATTTGGTATGAATATGCATCTATTAAAAGAGGATAAGATGTACCATTCAAAAGTAATTTGATTGCACTCATGATAGTCAATAGACCCCCCTGTGGTGAAGTGGCTAGCATGCCATGCAGCTGCACCACAGGTCCAGGGTTTGATCCCTGGACTGGGCAAGGTTGACTCAGCCTTTCATCTCGTGAATGGGTCAATAAAATGAGTACGAAATTCACTTGGGGACTGAACACGGGGGATCCTGCGACACTGCCCACTTGCCCAGAGCATATGCTGATGCACCTCGGGGCTCAAGGTCAAGAAAGCAGATTTCGGGGCACTGCAGGCCGTGGTCCACTAGGGCTGTTGTGCCATCAAGTTTAGTTTATGATCATCAATAAAGCTCATAGAATGCAGGGATGTTCAAAATACATGTTGTGATATCAAAATGCAGATGAGTGTAATACGAGGCATGGTCGCCTCTCACAGCTTGACCGGTGGCATAGTGTAACTGCATACTGTACAGGAGGCAGTTGAGGATTCCCTGAGGCAGTCGATCCTACTGCTGCAGCAAGGCAGTTTTCAACTCTGAGATGGCGAGATTAAATTGCCCTCCCAAACATACTGTGTAAGGTTAAGGACAGAAGATTTGGCTAACCAATCCATGCGGCAAATATCCTCACTTTCCAGATAAACATTGACCAGCTGAGCCTTACGTGGACGGGCATTGTCATCCATTAACAGGAACCCAGGACCAACTGTGCCTCTGAAAGTCTAATATAGACTTTTATTATCTTCTCTCTTTACCTCATTATATTTAGGGATGCTCTGTAAAACACATGCAGGGGTGTGCAGCCATCTAACATAATGCCTGCCCAAACCAGTACATCCCCGTCACTTTACTGAATCCTTTTTCTCTGACCGTTAGAGGGATGGTATCGTGTTCCAGGCTTTTTCCAGCTACAGTGTCTAGGCTGAAACTCGACTCATCTGTAATAAGTTTGTCATTCCACATAAGTCTGATCCAAGGTGCACATTGTCTGCACCATGCTATATGCACTCTCTTGTATGCTGCAGTGAGCAAAATGAAACAGCAGGTTTTCTGAAATACAGTCAAAAGTCGTTAATCCGGACTCTTGGGGACTTCGGCGATTCCGGATTATCGATTTTTCCAGATTATAGATCATCAGTTTAAATCTCGTAAGATGGCATGCAGAAATTCTAAAATTAAAAATATGAAACCGTAATTTATGAAATAAAGAACAATTATGAACTAAAGGGTATCAAAATTTACAAAAAAAAAAAAAAAAAAAAAAGCTTAATATTTATTTATTTGTTTACTTTATTAAACATTTCTTTAAATGTAAGTTGTTTAAGTTGCTTCGTTTTATGTGATAATACTTTCTCTTTAATTCTATAAACAGACATAATTTCTTGTTCAGTTACAAAGTTCCGCTGTTCAAGTCCCGTTAATTGCTGTGCCGAGAATACCGACTAACTTGTCAATCGAAATTTTTTCATTTTCACTAACCTCTCTGTCACATTCTTCATGTCTTTATCCATTTTTTGCAGCAATTCCACTTTTTGTTTGGTGGACATCGAAACATACTTTTGTTTTGTACGATCCTTTGGGAGCTCCAGAATCGGAAATTCTTTTTGACATAATCGAAAGTTCAAGTTTACTTTTATAGTATTGCTCTTACAGTCTGCAAAAATAATAAGCCGGATCCAATTCGAAAATTAAGGAACAACGCAATCATCAACATTAACTGAAATAGATAATTAGATAATTTTAGCTTATACCGTCTGTTGTACATAAAACGCGCACGCGAAAACGTATTCTGCACTTGCGCACACGCATATGCACAGATGTAGAAGGTCGTATGTGCACGCGTGAACGCCTATGCGCATGTGTCAACACGGCTTTGAGAAACGCGGCAGAAAGTTTTTAGCTTTGAGGTCCGGATTATAGATCATTCCGGATTATGGGTGTCCGAATTAACGACTTTTGACTGTACAAGCCTTTCTCATGTACCCTTTGGCCAACTGTAGACCATGAAAGTCATGTTTCATTGGCAGCATGCAGCTCATGTCAGAGTTGTGAAGCTTTAGCAGTCATATGTCTTCATGCTGAAAAGGCCAAATAACAATCCTCATTTGTCGTTTTTGATCTCGGTAGACCTCATCCAGGCCTTTTTGATATGGATCTAGTGTCACGCAACTTTCCATAAATTGCAGATGACACTGGGCATTATGCTGAGTTCTGTAGCCACCTGTGCTTGTGATTGGCCTGCATCCAATCTGATGGCATTTCTCTATCTCATTCCATCATCCATACATTCATGGCTACTCATTTTACCTAACACCTTTAAAATTTACTGAACTCTTGTGAGAAACACGACAAATATTATGAAAGAATAAGAGCACACAAATTGCTGAAAATTCCTTGGATACTTATGTTGTCACCTCTACAATCGCAGTTCCACAGGCTCGCACATGTATTCGACCCTAAATATTTGATTACAGTAGCCTTTTAGTTGAATAATTTTCATGAAAATAGACATAATTTTCAAATTCTCTTAATTTTGCACACATGCATAGTATATGTGCAAGAAATGAGCAAGAAAGAAATTATGACTAAAATAATATTTTTAAATTTTAATGTTCAGTAAAATGGTGGGAAAAAGAAATGATTAAAACAATAATCAGTTATAGTCTACAAGCTGAAAAGTAACTTTTTAACTAAAAGCAGTAGATTGTGTACTGTATCATTACCTAACAAATAAAGTTAAGTTTTCATGTGTTAAGTTTTTTATTACAGGCTAAGAAGTAACATTTTCCACTGAAACTTTCACTTTGGAAAATATCTTAAAGAAAAGTCACATGTTAAATCTTCCTTAAAATGAACTTATTTCTGCACATCTGCTAACCACAAAAGCATATTTTAGGATACTCTTGTCAGTAAAAAATTTCATTTGTTTCTATTTTAATCTAAAGATATTAAATAATGCAGTAATGAAAGAAAAATCAAATAATTTAGTAGTGAGATAAAATATTAGTTCATTAATAGAAAATATTTGGTATACTTAGAATACTTTTGTTCAATAGTTATCTATAAAGGCATTTTTATCAAATTTAATAAATTTAAAAAAATTTGTCTCATTATGAAATAATTTGAAATTCACAATAATAGGTAAAAAAATGGTCACATAAAGCTTTAATTCTGATACTTCATGATATACTGAATCATTTATCCATAACTCAGAATTTTTCCCAATAGCAGAACAGTATTTTATTTTTTATTATTTTTTATTTTATTTATTTTATTATTTTTTTTTTTTGTTGTTTGTTTGTTTTAGATTAACTGTGTTAATCCTGCAAAAATAACTGTAGCTCACAATTTGAATTCTTTTACATTTAAATATTTTTATTCTATTTTTATATCAAAGTCACTTTTTAATCAGGTACAACTGTAGCTGCTTTCAATTTATTTAAGAACATCCCTGTAAGGAGACAGTTTTATCGTTCTATTAAAAACAAGAAAGAAGAACTGAAAAATGTTGAAGATATTCTAATTTCTTTTGGATGCATACAAACTGGTATTAATTATTATTATTATTAAAGTAATCTGATTTATTTTTATTTATGATCTGTAAAAGTATTCCAAATTTCTTTTCTTCCCTACAGGTGTTAGATTCATTTTGGGCCATAATAAACACCAGTTATGGCAGAAAACTGTTGTTCGTGATGCTGAGGCTGGATTAATTCAAGTTTTTGGAAATTCTGTTGTTGATCATTTGGAAAAAATTGACTATTTTTCTGAGAATATTCAGGTTTGTTACACATTTGCTATAAATATAAAGTAAGTTAGCTCTATAGCATACCATATTGCCATTTTCAGGATAATATGCTATCGAAACACTGTTTCTCTTGTATTTAGAATTTTAGAAGAATTATAAAATGTTTAGACTTGGAAGTTTTATTATATCTACAGATGGCTGAAATCTTACTCTCAAAATTCAATAGCTATAACAGATAATCTGAAGCTAGAATTATAGTTAGTTTTTTATGTCCAAAAACCTCTTTAGCAGTATATTCCGAGTAGCCAAAATTCAGATTATAAAAAAAAAAAAAAAAAAATCTTTCTCCTCTGTTAGCATGGTGGTAGAGGAGCTGGTTGCCACCCAGATTTGAATCTCAGGGAAGGATGCCTTTAAGTCTATATCATCTTAAGAGCATGGAGACAGTTAGAAAACTGTTGAGCTGACCATCCTATCAAAAGGTTGAGAAAAAATGAATAAGGGTGAAATAGTATGTAATAATCAGATATTTTTAAAGAAGAATATTTTATTTTTAAAATTGCTTATAATCAGTTGTGAAAAAATAATTACAAACTTTCCCATATTGTTGTTAGTTTTTTAATAAAAATTTTAATTTAAGTGATTTCATTCTTGCTTTTATATATTCTTTATAGATATATATTGTTTTATTTGTTTGTTTGTTAATTTTTTTTTATTTAAGTAATAGTTTTAAGGTTTATTTTGTGTGTTATTGAATTTATGGCAATATATTTCATATGCATTCTTATGTAAAATTGTAGATTTTTCACTTCTGAATCCAGCAATGCTTAAATTGTAAAAATACCTCAATTAGAATAAACACCAAGAGTGGAGCATCCATTCCCTGGCTTGCTTCTTTGAGCCGCCTTACATGTTCATAGCTCTCCACACTCAGAGCCTGTACGGAGGGGCGCCACACCCACCGATCAGCCAGCAGGGACTTCTTCTCATGTTCATAGCCACCATCCATCGCCGAGGACTGAGCGGGGAGCCAGCCCCCTACTATACAGCCCTTACATGTCTACATGAGAGCGTCCTCACATCCAAGGCAATGGACACGGCAGTATCAGTACCGTCCCTGCCAAGCGCGCGCCTACCACCATATAAACGATGGTTCTAGTCACTGTGAAGACTTCTTATTTACCCAAGGACCCGAAGCTGTTAGGACACGTCCAGCCAGTGGTCTGGAAGAACCTCAATTAGAATGCAAGATATGAGTAAAAAATACCTTTGCAGGTCACCCCCTTCCTTGTTATGTTGGCAACATTTAGCAATTTCTTGCCAACTTAGCAGTTTTCTAGAAGTTTTGAAAAAATTCATTTTTGAAGCTCTGGAACTGATTTTTCTGAAAGCTTTCAGACACCCATGCAAGATCATATAAATACAATTCTTAGAATAAGAAAGAGTCAAGTATTAATTAGCTCTGATATGTTGCACTTCTAAGAGAGCTGAATTATGTTTCAGAGTTTATTCTGTGAGTAACATCTTCGGAATGTATGATATTTTTCATGCAATGTGGAGAATTTTTGTGTTTTTCTTGAACTATTTAATTTGCTGTGTGCGATTGTTATTTATGATTAATTGTCAGTTCCTTCCTGCTCATTTGATGGTTGGAGATATCCATAAACACATAGCTCACAACAATATTTATCAGATAATATCTTGAACAGAAATAAGATTTCCAAAGTATTTAATTTTTGTTGACACTATTATGTTCCTTCTGATGAAGTCTGCTTTAGGGAACTTTGCAAATTATGTTTTGATCTGCTGCATAAAAATTTTTTGATATTTTAAATTCTATTAAAATTTTATAAACCAAATCATATGAACAGAATTGAATATATTTCAGATTCTGTTCCATTTTGTATTTTTAAATTTTATTTTAAATCTCTTGGATCTTTTTCAAATATTAAAATCTACTTAATCTGATCTATTTAGACTTTTAATGGGTTGGCAACTAAGTAATTGCGGATTTTTTTTAGAAAATCAAAGACAATTTTTTCATGGAACTAAATAACTTTATTCTGTAATGTATTGCCCATTTTGATCAATGACTTTTTGCCATCTTTCAGGCAGCATCATAATCCCACGTTCATTAAACTTCTGGTTTTTATTAGCAAAAAACTGAATCAGGTACGATTTGACATCATCATCATTATTGAAATTTTTACCATTCAAGGAGTTTTGTAAAGATCGAAACAAAAAGTAATCAGATGGTGCAAGGTCAGGACTATATGGTGGATGTGGCAAAAACATCCCAACCAAGCTCCAATAATTTTTGCCGAGTGACCAAAGATGTGTGTGGCCTTGCATTGTCATGATGGAATACAACACCTTTTCGATTTGTCAATTCGGGCCGCTTTTCTTCAACTGCATTGTTTAATTTCGTTAGTTGTTCAGTGTAGACATCAGAATTGATCGTTCGGTTTGGGTGGTAAGAGTTCAAAGTAGACAATTCCTTTGTAATCCCACCAAACTGATAACAAAACCTTCTTTTGATGTTGTTTGAGTTGGTTTACCTGGCCTGCTCCACGATCTTTTCCACTTGATATTGTTGTAAACAACCCATTTTTCATCGCCAGTTATCAGTCGTTTTAAAAATTGATCATTTTCATTATGTTTCTTTAGCAAATCGCAGCTGTTAATGCACTGCATTAAATGCGTTTCTTTCAGTTCGTGAGGAACCCATGTATTGATGAAGTCTAACGTTAGGAATGGAGACAAATAAATAAGCAGAGATTCATCTAAATTAATGTATATTGAAACACAAAATGTCACAAGTACAGTAAATTCTACATGGTAAAGTAAAACAGTGACAACAACCAAAAAAAAACGTTGCCAAGAGAAAAATATAAAAAGAGTGTTGCCACACATGTAAAATACAAATGGGAAATATAATCACAAATAAAAGTTATTTGCAACACTCCCCCTTGATTAAATTTTCCTCAGTCCTACACAGAACCTTTGATTGAACAAGGCTTTCTTTTACACACTCTTTGTGAACATGTCTGCTGCATTTGAACTGGAAGGCATATACGTAAAGTTTAACAACTTCTCTTTAACCTTTTCTCTCAAGAAAAAATGCCTGAGTTCAATATGTTTGTTACGCTCTGAAGTGACATGGTTTTTGACTAAAGAAATGGCACCCTGATTATCAACAAATATGCTTTGTGGAAAGTTTAAAAAATGTTCTCCCACAATTTCTTTAAAAAAATTTTGGAACCACAGTACTTCTTTGGCTGCATGGCACATTGAGAGGTACTCAGCTTCAACTGTTGACAATGCAGTCGTCTGTTGTTTCTTACTGCTCCATAAGACAGCTCCACCTGCTAGTAGCACCACATAGCCACTAAATGATCGTCTGTCAATCTTATCACCAGCCCAATCAGAATCACAAAACACTTCCAAATTCTTTCCTGTCTTTTGGAAAGTCAAGTTTAATTCCTTGGTCTGTTTTAGGTAACGAAGGATATGTTGTACACCAGCCCAATGTTCCTTGCTTGGGCAATTATTGAATTGGCTCATGTAAGTAGTAGCAAAAGCTAAATCTGGCCTTGTTCCTCCTGCTAGGTACAAGAGTTCTCCAACAGCCTGCCTATATTTTAATGCTCCTTCAGCATTCAACATGTTATCCTTAGTGGCTGTTGTATATTTCATACCTGGATCTAATGGTGTTGATGCTTCTTTAGCATCTTGCATATTGGTTGTTTCCAAGAGTTCACTAGCATAGACACTTTGGTCAAGAGTCACACAGCTATCTTCCCTTCTGCTTATCCTAATTGAAAGAAGGTGATGTACAGGGGTTGGACAAAAATATGGAAACACCTTTAAAAAAACATGTTTCTTTGCTTAATATGGTGTAGGAAACCCGTTGGCATCCAAAACAGCTTTCAGTCTTCTCGGAATAGATAAATACAGTTCCTGTATGTTTGCCAAGGGAATATTATACCATTCTTCCTGCAAAACGGTGGCAAGTTCAGATAACGATGTTGGCGGTGGATAACGAGAACACACTTTCCGTTCCAATGTAGACCACAAAGGTTCGATAATATTCAGGTTTGGTGACTGTGGTGGCCAGGGGAGATGGGACAACTCATCCTCGTGCTCAGAAAACCAGTCCTGGACAATGTGAGCTGTGTGAACAGGGGCTTTGTCGTCTTGGAAGACACCATCACCATCGGGGAACAAAGTTTGTATCATGGGATGAACTTGATCAGCCAAAATGTTAACATAAGTCTTGGCAGTCATGTGCCCTGACACAGTTATCATGGGGCTAGCAGAGAACCACGATATGGCTGCCCAAACCATAACAGAACCCCCGCCGTGTTTCACTCTTGGCAACAAGCAGTCTGTATTATAGGCTTGAGATGCCGTTCTCCAAACGTAAACTCGGCCAGAAGTGGGAACAATGTGAAAGAAGACTCGTCAGACCATATTACTCGCTTCCACTGCTCTATAGTCCAGGCTTTATGACTTAAACACCACCTTTTCCTGTTACGGGCATTAGCATCACTGATGAGTAGCTTCTCAATTGCAGCCCGGCCAGCAATTCCCTGTTTATGAAGCTCCCTTCTAATTGTTTTGGTACTCACAGGGTTCGGTAACACAACATTCATTTCAACAGTATCTTTTGCAGCTGTGGTCTTCTTATTTTTCGTCACAATTGCCCTTAATGATCGTCTGTCACGATCACTCAGGACACACTTTCGTCCGCGCTGTGATTTAGCAGATGATGTTTTTCCGCTTTTCAAATATGCGGAATAAATCTTCGATACAGTACCTCTTGAAACACTAAACACCTCGGCTACCTTGCTTACGGAAGCACCTACCATACGTGCTCTAACAATTTGCCCACGTTCGAAGTCTGTTAACTCTGACATAATGCAATGACAACCTCACATAACAGTACTCCGACAACAACTGAACTGTTTAGCACATTTACGAACTTGTATAGGTGGCATGAGTAGTCAAAAACTCCAGCCCCACCTACATAT